TTTTCACAACGATTAAAAGAAAAAAGAGGAAAAAATTGCCCCGCGCAACCGGGTTCAGCCAACCGCTCGCGTTTCCTCCGATTAAGCGCGCATTCTTTTTTCTCTTTCCCTTTTTTTTCAACGACGCGCAATCCTTTTTTCCATTGCTCGGCCGCGACGCGGGCTCTCCCTGCCGCTGCTGCGCGCCCCCCGCTGTCTCGCGCTTTAATTTCCAGCCTCGACATTTGCGTAACCCAGTTTCGCCATTGTTCGATTCAATGGTAGATCGTAACGTCCGCCATCCGGATAGGAGATTATAATGCTCGCGTGTACGTACGTGGTACCGCGCATCGTCGCCTCGTTCGCGCGCATGCGTGTGCACGTGCTCGCGCGTGCATCACCAGACGAAAGTACGCGCTTCTGCGTGTGTAGGACGCGTTCACTCGCGCGGTGCGGTGTGTCGCTTACACACACACGCATAGGCGCAGGCGCGCGCGCGAGTGCGCGTGCACACGCAGTGGAGATAAGCGAGCGACGACGCCGCCGTCGCGGCGATAGTGTTCACGAATTCATCAACTTTCTCCTCTTATCTGAGATTTCTCGACCCCCGGGATCGTTTGCACCAGTTTTACGTCGTGACGTTTTTTTTCTGTTTCCTTCGTTTTCGTCACGGCCAGCGTGTTACCAATTCGGTATTCGAGTGATTCAGCGCGCTCAATGACGGAAGCGCGACGTTGACGGCGTCGCCTTTCGACGTGTGGAGAAATTGGAGTTGAAGAGCGCGCTTATCCCACGCGCGTACTGTGGCCCAGATTTTGAGGAACAAAGACTGATATTGGAAGCGATTTGATTATCGTATTTAATCCACTTGATCGACTACGATGTTTGGGACTTTTTGGATTACTGTTTCATTGCGTCCTAATTTCCAACGTGCGACTGCGATTGTTATTGGGCAAAGTTCGGAACATAGCATCGGTGACTAACGTCAGACAGCACAAGTGTCTAAAATATGTCTCAAAGACATTCTATATCTGAAACAAACAGGATATTTTTCTCTAAAGCGTCATTTAAATATTTATGCTGTATGGGATTTATCGTAAATTGCATGGAAATTTCGTTAGCGTAATTGGATTTTTCGTCACCTAATAAGCCTAATAAGGAACAGGTGAAAAACTTGTCTGCAGAAACAGAAAGATCTTTGTAGGAAGTTTCAGTCAATTATTTCCATTTGTTTCAACCGAGTTTTGATACAGTTGAATTTTCAGACAAATGTTCTCGGTAATAGAGATTTCATTTTACGTCGCCTAATTTTCATCTGGTCTTTTTATATTCATTTCGCACAAATTTAAATCTTTCTCCCATGTAGCTATACTCGAAGCAAGTACTCAGAAATAATACAAAGACAATACATCTTACATTCGTAAACGTCAGAATAACAGTCGGAATCTTGCTTACAACGTTTGGGTTGAAAAAAAAATAGTTACTTGAACTACATTACGATTGTAGATTGTAGATCTTTTTAAGTGAACGAGGTTACACTTATTGTTTTTAGGGAAATAAAGATCAGTGTAGAAAAGAAAAGGAACAAAGTCTCAAAACAGTTCAAGCTGAAAAGAACAGACCTCACATGGCAACGTTACACTCTAACAATTACAGCTCAAACTAAGAGAACCCACGTCGCATTTTCTTGTCATGTCGATGCATATACGCATCTATGAGCGATCTAGCACTCGTCAGAGCTGCTGTTCGCAACGATACGGAGCGGCAATGCGTCATAGAAATTACTGCGCGGCAGTTCTTTAAGTTAGTTTCGTAGGCAAGACCCCATTACAGTGCTCTTGCTTGCGTTATCCGTGCGTTAAAGTTCCCGCACAATGTATCAACCGACGTTAAAGCGCGCGAGATGCATCTTACCGACACTGAGTATTCAGGTTCCCTGCCGAAAGGCAATTTACTCATAAAGCATGCAAACAGCAAGGACCTGCGGCTTGGCCGGTACAACAGCGTTCAGGGGTCCCCCGCTTCTTCGGGTTCACGCTCCGGGTTTCCCATGCGCGTGGAGACACAGGACTGAGCCCCACCAGGTAATGAACGGCGTGAAACCCCGCCCGACAACTCTTCAAGGTCCAAATAGAAGAAGAAAGAAGTACATAGCGCGTAAGCGCAAACGTAATCCGGCCGGTCGTCCAGTATGGACCGACCCTGAACTTCAGCCGGTGCTTGCTAGCATTGTTAGTAGCAGCAAAAGCAGCAGCAGCTGCTGCTGCTGCTGCTGCTGCAACGATTGGCGCACCTGCGGTGTGCAGCAATGATTTCCTTATTTAGCGATTTCTTCGGTATCACGCTGGCAGTACATTACGCATGCGAACGAGCGCGTACGCTGCGCGCCGCCGCGACTCTTACCCGTGCGAAGGACTCGCCTTCTTTTTTTAGATCGCTTCAAATCGCTTCTCGTTTCTCTCTTTGCGGATAATTATCGCCTGTCCCCCGGCACGTCTCTCTGCTCGCCGCGGCGTAACGCTCGCGTGCAAAAAGCTCATTGCGAAATTAATGTCCTTCTGTTTGGTTTATCACGTGCGACTCGCTCGGCTGTGGGAAGGAAGGAAGGAAGGAAGGGACGGTGTGTGGGACGTTTCAGGTGCAAAATATACGCGAAGGACGGCTTCTGCTCTCGAAATTCCTCGGAGTGAAATTTCACTCCGAAAGTAGGGTGGCAGCTGAATCATTTGAGTCATTCCTCATATCCTATCTCAGTGAACGTCAACTATCGGTAACACAACATCAGTGTTATAATCCCTTAATCAACAATGCAATATAACGCGTGAGTTGTGTAATATTAGTTACATCGTTGAGTGGGAAATTATAACAATGATGTCACGTTACTAAATTGGTTACGTTACTTAATTGGTGTTTACTGGGAGATATAGAATGAATTCTTCGCTCTGAGTCATTGAGTGATATTTTCACTCGAATTGAAGAGTGAACCTGATGCATTCCACCGTTACAGGAACATTTTTACTCCAATCGACTGAAACATTCCCCCATATGGAGTCAGAATTCACTCTATAATCTTGATTGAAACATTTACTCTTCTGGTTTCGAGTGACGGTATTTTCGCTATCACGCTCCAAGTGAAAACACTTGGCAATTTTCATTCTGTTTCACTCGAAGATACATAGAGAGTGCTTTCTTTGCAGCTTGATTCCGTGACTTCCTGCAAAAATCGGCCAGTCCCCCGAATAATCGCGCAACCTTTCGTCGTTCCATCCCGAAGTTTTCAGCGAGATGGTTTTCTTATGCAAGCGCGGAACAAGAGGATACAAATTTTCCCAGTTACATAACGCGGCGCTTCGCGGCGTCTAATGTAGAAGGAATTCGTTCTGAGGAGACGTGCTTCCAAGAAATGAATAAACGGCAAATCAGGCAAATTCAGTTGCGAATCAAACGCGTGCATACTTAATGTCGAATTCGACGGGAACCCGTCGCGCTACTTTCGATGATTTATCATTCCAGGATGGTATTAGCACCTTTTTCGTGACTCTTACCCAAGGTCTTCCCTTTCGAATTCGATCGGACTATCCATCCAAGGTCACGGCGGCGAGCGTGAGATGCTCTTAAATCACACTGCGCGCCATTACTTTGTTATTATAAGCGGCGATTGAACATTTATATGTATAAGCAGCGATACAATCGGTTTCTTATGATACACACGGTGTTTGCGCATTGTCCTAATGTCAATTGAGCCAGGAGCTGTGGCGCTGTGTTGATAAATACGGCCGTGTCTGTGACGCGCGTGTCGCTGCCTCGGACATATCGCGCGAAAGGAAATTGCACGAGTAATCAATCGGATATATTCAGTTTTATAACGGATTGTGTGATCGTGCGCGGGACACGTTTGACATTGCGGAACTCGCCGATGCTTACGGCATTGGTTTCATAATATTGATTATACTTCTGCTCCTTGAGAATATAACGTGAAACCGGACTTTCTCTCTCTCGACTCCCCTTGAGAAACCGAAGGAATGCTCGATCAGCCGTTAATTCTCGATTCTCAGCCGTGGCCGCGTTAAACTGTTGCGAATCTTAGACACGGATGAATGGGATACTTCTTGCGGCGGACACACGTATCGTGTCGATCGAGAATACTTTTCAACGATCTCCGTTTAGAGGACTATGCTGTAACACTGCCATTACAGTATCGCCCCCGAAATTGGCGCCAATCAGAAGAGTATCTACTAGTCTTGTCAAAATTAAAACGAAGAAAACAGAAGAGACTATCACGATTCCTAATGGATACCCTTGTCGAGCCACTTGTGAAAATATCATATAAAGATCTAATTTATATTGATAAATGGAAGATATTTTTTCCTTACTTTTACTAGATTTTTATTTTATAACTGTTATAAAACGAAAGATGACTCTCTAGTGCCCCAATTAAAATATTAGTCGAGGTAAATGCTTGTTTAGACTGTTTAACTGGATAATTGATATACCGCACGGTTAAACACGTTCGACATGGTCAACCGAGAGCTGCGTAGATGTGGGAGAAACGTGAGAAACATGATCTTGTGACACGTCAGTCTCTTCCGTCGTTTCTAAGACAGCTCAGACACGAAAGGAGGAAATTAGTGTAACGAAGCTATCTTCGCATCACGCAAGGCGGCAAGACCACTTATTGGGTTAAGGACATGGGATAAACTGTTTTACCACATAATTTCGCTTACGACCATGCTCCATTTTCTCCGAATTTACTATAATAAATTTGTGACCGTTTACTAACTCACCGCGAAGAGTAAGTAAGGGTAAAGATTATGAGGAAGAGATTATCACAATATTTTTCGTTTATGAGCTTTTTTATCGATTTGGAGCTTGTAAGGTCTCAACAAAACGTCGTGATTAAATATGCTACCCATTCTAGATGGATAGATCCTTTTTGTTTCCTCTTTGCGAAGCGAACGATGCATCCAGACTTAAACTGTTACGTTGATAAAATGCGTTTACTCTTTTAATTCTTGTTTCAGACGATGTATACTGACGGTCTCTTGACACTCCACTATGGAAAACATCCAGCGACCTTGGCCGCAGAGGTCGGGGCCTGGTACAGTGGTGATCGTCATGTGGATGTGACCTTAGCATGCGACGATGGGTCCGTAGTGAAGGCCCATCGCGTCGTTTTGGCAGCAGCCAGCCCTCTCTTAGCTAGTCTACTTCGGAATCCTGCTCTGGACCACGTGGTTCACTTATCCGGCGTCCGAAAGACTCAGTTGAATCACTTGTTGGAGTTTCTATACAACGGGGAAGCATTGATACCGGTACTTTACAACGCGAATTTTACAGAATATATATAATAGAATATACAAAGAGAATAGTTTTCGTAGATAAAATTTTCGAAAAAAAGAAAAATATTTGCGTTCTATTCATAACATCAATATATAGGGAACAATATTCCAAATGATATAAATGTTGAGTGAAATCTTAGTAATTAAAATGACAAAATTTTCTTTTATTTAGTCGACGGAGCTCATACCGTTGAAGGAACTCTTCGAGCTACTTCAAATCAAATCCGAGTTGTCAGAGTCGAATCAAGCTCAAACCTCTAACAACTCTGATCCTGAAAGAACGTTGACTCCTCAGCCCTCAGAAGGCCAGGAGAGTTCCAGTTACGAATCACAATATGACAGCAGGTTAGTAGATGAGAAATACTAAAAATTAAAAACTCAGAGATTCTTAATCACAGAATGAGTCGACAGTCTTATATTTATATTCTTAGTCGCATTGAGTGTTATGCTACATACGAGTGTGACCAGCATCAGATCCAAATTGCGTCGTCACCTGCTACAAAGTCAAACCAATACATTGTGTATAAAGTCAAACCAATACATTGTGTATAAAGTCAAACCAATACATTGTGTACAAAGTCAAACCAATACATTGTGTATAAAGTCAAACCAATACATTGTGTATAAAGTCAAACCAATACATTGTGTATAAAGTCAAACCAATACATTGTGTATAAAGTCAAACCAATACATTGTGTACAAAGTCAAACCAATACATTGTGTATAAAGTCAAACCAATACATTGTGTACAAAGTCAAACCAATACATTGTGTATAAAGTCAAACCAATACATTGTGTATAAAGTCAAACCAATACATTGTGTATAAAGTCAAACCAATACATTGTGTATAAAGTCAAACCAATACATTGTGTACAAAGTCAAACCAATACATTGTGTATAAAGTCAAACCAATACATTGTGTACAAAGTCAAACCAATACATTGTGTATAAAGTCAAACCAATACATTGTGTATAAAGTCAAACCAATACATTGTGTATAAAGTCAAACCAATACATTGTGTATAAAGTCAAACCAATATATTGTTGAGTGGATATTTGATTACACTAGTTCTTAATAAAACCTTGCCTAATTCCCATTCTGGTACAACTTAAACAAACTCGCGTTTTATTGTAATAAAAATATAAGTAAATATAAGTAATGAAAATATAAGTAATAAAAAAAAAAAATTCAGTATTACTGACAAAACCTCAGGATTTATAATGGTAAACACTTTTAGACAGTCGAATAATCCTGCGGACTGTTGCTCGGTTCTCATCAAGACAGAAGACTGTGAAGAAGAGACGGACGTAGATGTAGAAGGCATGGGCAACGACACTACTGACAACAGGGAAAGTAACATAGAGCCTCCTAGAAGAAGGGATAGCTCTGATCCTGTCAATCTGAGTCTCAATTCCGGTGCTTCCACCACGAATGAGAGCTCGCACGATATAGTACACAGGTTAGATCATACAGCTTACGTAGACTACATTCTATTCAAGGCTCTTGGATACTCACCTCGGCCACGTTGGTTCGTGACGTCAGAGATGAGAAATGACACGCTGAAAATTCTTGAGTGCCATTTTCAAATAGAAAGATATTTGAATGAAAGAACATTGATCAGATTGCTAGAGCATACTTATAAAATTATCATTTTCGCTTCAATGATTAGTCGCAAAAGCAACATATTGAAATCATGAGAAAAATTAGGTTAAAGAGAAAGGTCACGTTATTTTTACGGTTATATTGACTGTTAAGGGAAAAGAATAGTTTTCAGAGCATTTTGCAAATATAATCAAATAAGATGACCAGATTTTTCAGGCTCTAATCAAGTATGTGTATGTGTGATCTGAAATGTCCTTTCAATCAAATATCTCTTCATTGGTGAAAATGAATACAAAGAATTTTAGGCATGCATTTCCTCGCTTTTAGTGTTACTAATATTACTAATCAAGAGTTCCGTGGTGAGGAACCACACGCAAAAAAATAATTTAGTAATTTCAGTTAAACCGCGGTAGCTGATTCAAACAAAGGCTAATCGTTTAGCTATCACTGTTAAGAATTAGCTATGACAGCTAAGATGCATTCGCTATGAAATACAAATATATTAGGTGACATTAAAAATGCATATTATTTCAAATAGCTAAGAAAATGGCAGTTATTCCTAAATTTCTTATCGTATGCATATAATAAAGAAGTTTGCTGTACAGCTACAATCATTTGTTATAGTCATTTATTTCTCGCTATAGCGCCTAAGTTTAACAACGAATAAATTTAGCTTTGGTAGTATCGACATTAGGTGTCCCTATTTCAGTGACACATCTTATCTGCCACAGCTATTTTTTAGTTCTGGAAGCTAGTTTTTTTTGCGTGCAGGAGTTTCAATGAAATTCATATCGTAAAATCATAAAGAAAATGTATGTGACACTTTCTAATGATCTCATGAATTGTATTCTGCAAGAAGCGAGGTTAGAATGGATCTTCACGATAGCTTGCTCGCAGGTCTGAAAAACAGTTATTTGAAAGGCGGGAATCTCTCGAGGAGGTTGAAGAAAGGAGAAGACAGCTAGCGGCGCGACTCGCGTTAGGTTTAGAACCTGGGAAACCACAAGCTGAAGAACTACCACTCCCACCTGCGGAGGCGTACGTTGTGACGCCTCATCGGAAGCGGAGGCCAGGTTTTCACAATGCTCCCGCACAAAACCCGGCATTCGTGCCCTTCAATCCCGGTTTCGAGACACCCAGGAGATTGCAAGCGCCACATCCTTTGAGTGTTTCGGCACCACCGTATCTGGTAATCTATATTCGATCATTTACACACATCTCATCAGTAAATATCCTCAACATTTTGACACGCATCTAAAAAAATTGTATTTTCTGGGAATAATCCTCTTCAGAAATTATTTCCTTTTCATTCGCATATTTTTTCATCCAATTATAATTTTTGCAATTTTCTCTACGATCTTGGATATCATGAGTATTTATTTTTCTTTCTTTTACTTTTACTTTTCTTGTATCATCAATGTTTCTATTTTCAAAAAGTCGATCATCTAGAAAGCAATGTTTGTGGAAACGTTTTATTACTCAAAATTTCGTCTAGCCTGGATTTATTCACATGGAATTACGTCTTTGCCGGTCACACCGCGATTTATTGAACACTATTGCGATTCTCCTTAAGCGTCTCTCCGTTACCCATAAGTTGTTGTTGGTTATTGACAGCAGGATAGGTCAGTGACGCCACCAGGAGCGTCACATCGACCGCCGAGTGCCGACCCGGCGTCAGCGGCGGCTCTTGAGCCACCTTGGGGTGCTTGGAATATACCACCTACGAGAGCTCCGCCGCCACCGCCAACGGAAGACCCGCCGAAGTCCACGCCCGTTCGAGACTATCGGTGCACCTATTGCGGAAAGCAGTTTGGCATGTCGTGGAATCTGAAGACTCATCTGAGAGTGCACACGGGCGAGAAACCATTCGCGTGTAGAATTTGTATCGCTACGTTCAAGCAGAAAGCTCACTTGCTAAAGCATCTCTGTTCAGTTCATAGAAGTCGGATAGCTGCACCCGACAATACCTTCACATGTTGCTTCTGCTCGCTGAGTTTCGACAGCCTGCAGGAGCTTATTAGGCACTTGTCAGGGCCGCATAATAATATGCTGCTTAGCAAGAATCTACATATACGTGACTAGCGACAAGATCAAAGGCTACCCGGTGTTGAGGAGTACTCCACGAGTGCGATATGACGAGTCTTAAGGAACTTTTTCGTATTTCTTGAAAGTCGTTGGAAAGGAATCGCGCTCGGGATATTCAATTTCTATTCAGATCACTGTGAAGAAGTCTCTTATGTAGTCAGAAATCACCACACTTTTCAACGATAAGTTTTGCATATGAGTCTGTATTTTATAAAAAATTTTATTTTTTAATCAAATTTTTTCCTCAACAAATGTCTTGTTAAATGATATTTTTAGAAGATATTATGTTTAATTAAACTATACAAAATTCAGTTGGACATTATTAGATGTCGTATACATTTTGATTGCGAAAATACTTTATAAAATACAGCACTTTTCAAAATTGTATTAGGAGAATACCTTTCGAAGAAGTGAGATTTTTAAACAATATTTTTTTTTACATCAATCTTCACGTATATAATAATGAATATTTGCCTTTACAGTGTACAGAATAGTACAGTTCTAAGCAAGGAGCAACAATTCTTGACTTGTGTGTATATATTTCAAAAGTATATACATCGAATTCGAATGCAATCAAGACGAAGTTATTACAATTTGTTTCGTTTTATTGAGCGAATGCAATTGCGAACTGTACACAAAAGTTACAAAAAAACACACACCAGACAGGATGTTGTCGTAGTCTTATGAAGATATATACGTTCTTTCAGTCCAGATCTTTTTTTATCTACGTGCACGTAATTCTTTAATGAAAAGACATGGTCCAAGAATGCGTCGATCTGGAATCTCATTACATTTTTTCAAAGACAAACGGCACGCAACATCGGAAATATGCCTTTGTTAAAAATATGACAAAATTCAAAAGAATCGACTTTACAGCATGCACACACACACATATACACATATATGTATGTACATATGTACCTAGAAAAAAATTTAATTCAATCAACCAAATATCTGGTGAAATATGAACGAATGGAGATTCCGGTTGAAACGACCAAAATTTTGTTAACTTGAACAGAATTCAAATAATTTCTAAATTTCTGGAACCGGAATTTTTGATTCGTTCATATTTGATTAATCCAATCAAATGTCTAATGACATTAGTTGGATATGGCTAGACATTTGGTTAGTCCAACCAATTTTCTTTGTGTATATACACATATATATATACATACATACATATGTATATATATACATACATAAATATGTACATATATACATACATACATATGTATATATATACATACATAAATATGTACATATATACATACATACATATGTATATATATATATATATACAGACAAAATCTTCACGGAGAGGTCAATAACTTCTTCGGAAGTATTTAATTGCGTGTACAAACGGTAGTGATTAAAAAGAAGCTTTTATCAGTGCTCGAGACCTATAACTAGTGCGAGTGTCGGGCACTCTGGGAAAAGTACAAGGAGGACAATGAACGAACAGAGAGTCAATTAATGAAACGCGCCGAATCCCGATGAGAGCTGGCGAGAATGAAGCGCGGCCTCTTTGTTGCGTTTTGTTTGTTGTTATTTTATTTTAATCGCGTCACGTGGCATCCGGCGAGACGTCCCGTTTACCTCAGCGCGTACGACTAATCTTACATAATGTAAATAATGTTAAATAGGAGAATGCGAATGGATTAGAATTTATTTATTTCATGCTATTGCAAAGGGACCAACCGACTTTCCACCGATTTCTGTCTTAGGTAGATCTTAGGTGTCCTGCCCACCAATCGCCTCGAACTAACTAACCGCTCGCAACGAGAGCCGAAACATTTCGATCGCGAGATACAAAAGTATTCGATCGGGACGCTGAAATGAAGAAGAACGAGCTATCGAAACGCGATGGAAGAGGAGCATTGTCGATGCGCTTAGATTGCGACGTTCATAAATTGTTGATTACGATTTGTTGTCTAGTAAATGTGGACGTTGTTAATGTTCTACTTTGTAAAATTCCGTCTTCCACATTTGACGTCACTCCCTCTTCTTCCTCGTCCACGTCCCGACACCCCATTCTCGGTATATCCTTCGGTATAACTCAGCGACTCGAGTGCCTTGTCAAATGGGTCCAAATTGGTCGATTGGGCAGTGATTTCATGTGTTCATAGGCTTAAGAGAAACATAGGCGTTTAAGATATGACGATACGAGAGAGAGCTCGCTTAGAACATGGAGGAATATCGATTAATTCATGTAAAAAGTGTTTTAAGATTTATTCGGTTAAATTCTCAAGTTTCGCTAAGACTAGTTAGGTTAGGTTAAGTTGTTGTATCTTAGTAGCTTTCTTTTGTTTAATTTCACTTTTGTTTGGCGCAGGACGTCATGTTCTATTTTCTTTTCTAAATAGGCATTATTTTACCTAAGGTGCCTTGAAAGGACCTCGACCTCTTTTTTGCTCCTTAATTATGCGAAACCACCTCGATGATGCTCGAACTTTTTAAGCGTAAAAAAGATACGAGGGAAATTCGAATTGACTTATCGACGGAAGGGTTTTAGGGAGGAACAGTTGTGAATGCAAAATAAGCGGGGATACTAGTTAAGATCGTATGGAATTTAGAGGATGGATACGCTCTAGAGCGAAGTGTAGTTTTGATACGTTCACACCAAAGACATTTTTATAAAAAAGTAAGGAGAGAATAAAGAGAAACCTTATCAGCAAGAATTCGTTTTTCGGCCAATAAGAGCCGCGCTAAGGTTGTCGGTAATAACTTCCTCGCGGGAGGATTAAAAGGAACTTGTCAAGCGTGTGGTTTTAATCGAGCAACCGACACACAATTTTAATTCTCCAACGAACACGTGACTTTTCGCACAGCCCCATTCTCGTTTATAAGTTTTAAACGGCAACTGTACTTCGAATTGTACTTCGAAGAGATATTACAATCTTAACGTATACTTAACTATTATATCGATCGTATCGGAGAGAAATAAATGTAGAGAGTCAAGTAAAAACAGAGTTCGACAGTGTACATTAATTAACTTAAATCTGTCATGCGAGCCTCGTGAAACAATCGTATAAGTAAAAAGGACGAAGATGTAAATTTTTTAATGGTTCGCGCTTCTCTGTCTCGATGGGCGACATATATTCTATATGAAAAACATACGAGTGTGTCGTAAAGGGAACCGAATGCAAACACGACCAACCGATGTTTTCTCTCTCTCTTTCTCTCTCTCTCTCTCTCTCTCTCTCTCTCTCTGACTCTATCTCTTTCTCTCTCTTTCCATCTATCTCTATCTCTCTTTCTTTCTTTCTCTCTCTCCCGCGTAACCGCTCGTCCTCGCGATCGCGATCACTCGGGGTGGAAGTATATTATGTATCGATCGGTACGTCTTCTCTCTTCTTCACTTTACCCCGCCACGTCGTTCGCCGGAATGTCGTGACGGGGAGGCGGACAAGAACGGAGCAGAAAGAGAGGTTGGAGGGGTGGTGTGCGCTCTCGCAAAGCCAGGCAAAAACGGCCAGCACAAAACAGTGAACGTAATGTGATACTAAATGATAATAAAGCTAAAGTAATTATTGTTTAGCGTGCGACGCCGCGGGCGTTAACGGTACACGGACGCGACTCGTGGCTCTCGACTCGTGGGCCAGGGAAGAAGCTTGCGACCGCGAGCAGAGAAAAGAAAAGAAGGAAACGATGTAGGAAGCCGACGAAGGATGATTTTGCGAGTCGCCTAAGTAATTTAAGCGATACCAGCTTTACCACCATCCATTCTTTTTTCCTCTTCACCCACCCTTGTCACACGCTCCCGACTCCGGTCGTCTCTCCTCTTCTCTCGAGCCGTAAGCGCACTAGGATTACGCACATTACAGATTAATCTATTGTTAATTAATTACGTTTAGCACACGCACGAACACCCGGGTGTCCCTCTCGGCCGAGGGAAAAGAACAAAGATCTCGAATTTCGCTTTCGATCGACCGAGCGGATCGCGAAGGTGAAAGAAGACGATACTTCCCTTGGTACGATTATTCGGTGTCGCTGCGTTCTCGGGGAGATACACGAATCTTTTATACATATTGGACGTGATCGAACATTAGTTGAATGATCATTTGCATCGAGGGGTCTTTTACGAACGTAAGAACAATAATGATGATCGGAGTGATTTTGTAGAAACAACGAAGGCGTTGACTCTCTCTTTCTTTTTCTACCGCTACCTCTCGTTGCTCTTCTGTGAAGATAGCGTCTTCTTTTTCTCACCTAGACATCCGGGTGGAAACTTTGTAGATATTAAGCATCTCTTCCAAGCGGGGCGTGAGCTCCGCGCGCTTTCTTAGTGTTCATAGGTTTACGAGAAGTAAATTAATTCAGTTGGAAACTGTGTACGAAGAGATAAACGGAAGCGAGCGTAATCGAAGGCATTGTGTATTCTCGATTTCCCTCTCTTATTCCCTCAGAAACTGTGTTTATTCTGTCTATAAAAGTACCTAGGAAAATTGCACCTTCAACATAGATATATCTTTAAATATCTTCTTTCCAAATATTTCTTTTAAATCTTTCTTAAATCTCTCTTTTGAATCTTTTTGTTTGTTAGTCTATTTTTTTAATTTTATCGATTTATCTAATTGCAGAATGCGACGAACTTCCTTGAGCTTATTCACGAAGCTTGTTTTCGAGAGCTCGTTCTATGCATTAGTTAGATTCCCAATATATCGATGTATTCATTCACAGATCTGTTAAATGACTTTCTTCCGAAATAAACGAAATGTCTACGTTCCTTACTATTAAGTTATCGATGCATTAGTTCACAGATGTGTCAAAGGTATCATTAACAAGATTTATCAGAAGAAGCGTTTGAATATTTATAACTTTGTAAAGAACGAGACCAGGTTTCGTTTATCTTTGGAAAAAGTCACCTAACTCATCAGTGAACCAACGCGTCGATGTTTGTTCGTAAGATCTCGAGTCAAAATCATCAGTATTGATGACAGTTGTTGAGTAACATCATTGAAGACCAATATTGTTATAAGAACTATAAGAGAAGAATATATTCTATGTATCTACGCATTTAAAGCTTCCTCTTAAAGCTGCGAAGTTGCATCTCGCGTTTTACACCAGTCATACTTTTCTTCACGTTAAACTTCATCGAAGTGACGGCTCGTCAAGACAAAAAAGTCGCGCCGAAAGCAATATCGAAGCGTTACAGGTCTGGCCTCATCATCTGGCCTTGGGAATGAGGCCGCGGGATCGAGTGTCGGATGATCGATTCGCGATCGACGAGGAACGGCTAATTGTCGTCCTCGCTAAACGCGGATAGCGGTTCGCCCCGCTCGGAATCGGGATCCCCAAAGAATTCCCGGCGAGAGGCGCAGCGTCGTCGGCTAACGGTCCGAAGGCTTCGGTTTTGTACAAAAAGAAAAGCCACGCCATGACCCGTTACTAGTGGGCTACGTTCCAGCGGGACGGTGTATGCCGCGTACGTCCAGCTTTGACGGTGTCTATTGCATAATTACACCGCGACAGAACAGGTAACGCACCACGGCCGTACGTCCTGTTTGTCCGGAGGTACTTGCGTGCCTATATGCGCCCCGGATTACGTCTGTTCCGCAGACGTAAATACGCGTTTGTGTTGAGGACTGAGCCGCTGGAACCGGCTCCATGAATGACTACGGAAAAAGAGCGACTCCGTCGCCTCGCGCGTCTCATTATTGACCGTCGCCAGGTGGATAACTTTATGTGCTGAGGTCGCTGATTTACGCGTCACATAGGCAACCAACTGCAAATGCGCGCAATACGTCCGTGCTACATGAATAAGGACGTCAACTGTACTTTCGGAGTAGTCAAGCAGCAGAGATCTGCGCGCTGGCCGTTAAGGTGCTTAACGATGACATGTAATGATCTCGACGCGTGCAAGTTTTATCTGCAAACGAAATAATTAGGTCGTTTCGTTTCACCGATTAACACGACCGGGAAGAAATTTTTGAGAATCTACGCGTTCGCGTCAAAAATATGATATACCAGCTTAAAGCTGATCCTAGAATCCTAAACTCGAAACATGGATAAATTTTAGTCAGCGCATTTTCACTTGCTCATAACCTCCGAAAAATCATCGAAATTCAATTCTTTCTTCTCAATCGATGTAGAAAGCATCGAATCTATTAATGTTTGTGGGTTTCAATGAAGTTGAACCAGCAAATACACGCGTTATATAACAGTTATATTGTTGAGTGGGAAGTTATAATTAACAATTATATAACTGTTACTTGATGGTTGCTGGGGAAAGAAGTTAAAATAAAAAAACGAAATCCGTATTGTTAAGAATGATAACGTTTGAAAAGTTGAACTTAAATGGTTACATGTCAAGGGGATGAAATCAGGAGGAGAAAATGAGAAAATGTGCAGGTTTCACATAGCCTCTATTTTTCCACAAAATCCTAGAGAGTAACCGTGCGAGATGTGGTCTAGATCGGTTGAAAGGTTTGGAAGTTAATAGGGAACATACAGATAGACATTCAACGTCGAATATAAATATCGTTTCTTTAATATATGTTTGACGTAACACACGCGTTGACATGTGCGCTAAAGTGGGTCGCTATTCGTCGGATATTCTTCGAGAAGCGCCGTCGGCGTCCGTCGCTTTCTCATAAATCATAATCGTTCTTAATTAACACGACACACGTGAACGATACACACCACGCACCGGGAATTAGAATCCTCCCAATCCGTTAACTATGTATTCGATTCGAGGAATCATCGGCATTCCATGTAGTAGCTGAGATGCCTCGCTCCGCCGATGTCCCCCGAGGGACTGGCGTTTCCAATCTGGAAGTACCGTTTGTTCAGAAGTTGCATAATGGAGCTTGCATTTCTGGTTCTTGGTCGTGGTGTCGTCGGCGAACTTGCCAAGAGATTCGTAGGCGCATCATTGACCAATGACCACCGTCTGCACGGCCAGGCTCTCGAGCCATGGAGAGTACCGTAAGAGTACTAACACGTGGGTGACACAGAGGGGGTAAGACCGTTCGGTCAACGCTCCTGCTTAATGTATATAAGGTTGGAGCCCCGACGGATACTCAAGGCAGATCGTCATCAGACATGTTCGGGAAGATTGTCCTAGCACTCTCGGCCTTGGCCTGGGCCAGCGCGCAGATCCCCAATTTGGGATTCTGTCCGGAGTACGTGCCTATGGCGAACTTCGACATGAACAGGGTGCGTACCGCTTGTGGTCCATTATATTTATTGCTTTGTTTTACCACGTTTTACTGTTCTTTATTTTTTACTACACGGAGAGAATATTGTGACTTCTTTTCATATAAAATGCTTTCATTTTCCTTATAATTCTTTTTTCTTCATTCTTTTACATTTTTGTATGTTTCTTATATGATATAAGTAACACGAAAGAAATGAAGGGATAATAAATTCTATAGATTAATTTTCATTATAAAAATATCTCCGTGTATATATGTTACTATATTTTATTATTCTATTTTTTACGTCAATTTATTCTCGTTTTATCCCGTCTAATTATGTATACTTACATTAATTAATACTGCAATTATCTTCGATCATCAAGCGGATGCAAAGTCATATGCTCTTTTTAAAAGCAATATGCTCTTTTTTTTAATAACGGAATATCATTTCATCGCGTTTGATTATGTGTACATAACTTAACGCGTAGATTACTGGGATGTCTTTAATCATCAAGTGCAAAATCATAAAAGAAATATATTTTCAAGTTAAGAGAATATACTTTCTTTATTACATTTTCTTTTTAATGTACTTTTTTATATTATATTTACTTTTTCTAAATATAAAATATTTTTCTTGTTCGCTCGCTAGCGACATCACCAATGTTTAAGAGGACAGTGGCGATTAAAATGAACCCCATTTAATGTCGTTACAGTTCATGGGTGTTTGGTACGAGGCCGAGAGGTACTTCCAACTTAGCGAAGTGGTGTCACGATGTGTCATGACGAATTATACCAAAGGCGCTGACGGCAAGTTCCGCGTGAGCAATCAAGTTACAAATCGTTTGTGAGTACACCAGCTACGTCGATTTCGTTCGACAAATGCGTTTAAGAAGAGCAAATGGGTGCACAGTGCGACGGCGATTCTCGTGAATGATACGTCTGATCTTTAGCACCGGCATCAAGAGGATACTAGAGGGTGAAATTAAGCCCGCAGCTTCCAAAGCCGAGGAGGGTAAACTCCAAGTTAAATACACTACAATTCCGCTGACCCCCGAGACTAAATACTCGGTACTCGAGACGGACTACGACTCGTACGCCGTTCTGTGGAGTTGCCAAGGTATCGGTCCGGTTCACGCGCAGAATGCGTGGGTCATGACGAGGGAACGAATACCGCCTGGCGAGGTGCTTCAAAAGGTACGCTTTATGAGGCGAACTTTAATTAATAATTCATCAAAATGGAGCACTTCAAAGTCATTAACGCGTTAACATCACTGTAACATATATGCAAATCAAGTCATATTATTTTTTAATTTTTAGAATTATTTCTAGAACATTTAGAAAATATTATCTGTCATTTAAATCATTAAAGAAGTTTACATAAAAGTAGAAGAGTAATAGAAAAATCGTGATAAAATCTGGGATACTTAAATTTAATTAATATATATTATTTTGATAATTATTTACTTATTTTAAATTATTAATTTATTTTCACATAATTATTACATTAATTTTATTTTATCATATATTATTTTATAATTACTAATCTTCCCATATATTTCATAATTATTAACACAAATAGTTTTTCCTTCTTGTTATTGGCAGCGATCGTTCGAGTACATATTTCAAACTAATCGACGTGACTCTTATTTCGGTCGCAGGCTTATGGCGTTCTTGACAAATACAAGATATCGAAGACATTCTTTGTGAAGACTGACCAGGCTGATTGCGCGTACCTGGACGCGACGCCAGCAAAGCCGGAAGCGCCAGCGAAGCCGGCGACGAATGAAGAAGGCGGTAGCTCCAGGTCGGTTATCGCTCTGGAGGATGCCAAGAGCGAGAAGCTTCTGCTGGAGGCTGATAATATGGACGAGAAGGTGACTCCCGATATCCCAAAGATAATCACGGAAACCGCGAAGCCGCTCGCCGTGGAGACCGTTCCCGAGCGAATTCTGAAGATAGCCGAGGCGATCAAGGAGGAGAGCGGCGACACGGAGGACAAAATGATCATCGTCGAGGTGAAGGAGGAGAAAGCCGTGGAAAGCGCGAAGGAGACGGAAAAGACTGCTTAGAGATGATATCGTTTGGTGGACGTGTGGTTTCTGTTGGTTGGCGCTGGCGGGGACACATCTATGGGGATTATCGAAGTCCTTAGGCTCGTAGCGGCTTCCTCATTCAGAAGCAGTCTCGCTTAAGCACTGTGAAGTCATTGTAAAGCCCTATAGGCATG